AGACATGCGGGAGAGGGAGGAGGGGTTGGGGAGAGGAAAAAAGCAGGGAAGAGGAGGGAGATAGCTCAATTGTAAGGCTAAGGTTAACACCTGGTCCCCTCTTCCAGTCGATCATCTGCCCATAGCTCTCCTGTACTTCAATGGAGGATGGCAGGGGTGGGCGGGGTACAGGGCTACAGAACTGTAGGGCAAAAGTATCCAAGTCGCTGTGGTCCCGCCGAGAATTGAACTCGGGTCTCAGGATTCAAAGTCCTGCGTGCTAACCACTACACTACGGGACCGCACGCCTTCTGGTGTGCCAGACCTTCATCACTTGCTAAGTAGTAACAGCGAAATTCATCACTTGCTAAGGATCTCCCCATGAAGGGGGAGGGGAGTGAATAAAGGTAAAAATTTTCCCCTTTTTCCCTTCCAATCCGCCCACCCACCCAGTATAGCGCCAACACACGTCTCCTCTCTTGCTTGGCACTCTGTATAGTGTGGAGAATCTTCTCATCAATACCGTCCCACTCACTAGTCGTGCCCTCCACATCTTTCTAGGCTTAGTTTAGTGAAAAAGAACGGGATCTCTCCGGTCCTAGTCTTGGGTACATTCCACCTTTTCCTCTTCCTCTCTTCTTTCTACCTTTTCAGACTTTGATCTGATCCCTCTCCCTCTCTCCCTCATCAGCTTACATTACATCTCGTGCCCTCGAACCATCACCCCCTCCCCTCTTCCCAGCGTGATCCATGGGAGTTCCAGCTCTCTTCAGGTGGCTTGCCACCAAATACCCCAAAGTTTCGTCCCAGGTTGCCGAGGAGCCTGTCCGGGAGATCAACGGCATCACCCTTCCCATCGACATTTCCCGGCCCAATCCCAACGGTGAAGAATACGATAACTTGTATCTTGATATGAATAATGTTGTTCATCCCTGTTGCCATCCTGAAGATAAGGTATGTCTTCTTTCCCATCTTTTCTTTTTTTTTTTAGCTCATCTCATCTGCTGGTATACGCTTTCCCTCACTCCTCGACTCACCCTATCCCCTATTGTAGCCTGCTCCAGATACTGAGGAGGAGATGATGCTTGAGGTCTTCAAGTACATCGATCGACTCATGTCCATGATTCGCCCTCGGAAGGTACTGTACATGGCCATCGATGGTGTGGCCCCACGCGCAAAGATGAATCAGCAGAGATCCCGTCGTTTCCGTGCTGCTCAGGAGGCTCAGGAGAAGCGGGATGCCGAGGACAAGGAGACCAAGGCGGCCAACGACGATGAGGAGGAGGAGGAGGATGAGGAGAAGGAAAAGGAGGAGGAATTACGTGCCGGGATGGATGAGGACGAGTCGCCCTTCGTGGATGTCAAGACCGGCAAGAAGCATTTTGATTCTAATTGCATCACCCCAGGAACCCCCTTCATGTCCAAGCTCGCTGCCTGCCTTCGATATTACGTTATTCGGAAACTCAATACTGACCCAGGCTGGAAGCACCTCAAAGTCATTCTCTCTGATGCCAGTGTTCCCGGGGAGGGCGAGCATAAGATCATGGACTTTATCCGGAGACAACGTAATAGTCCCGGTTACAACCCAAACACGATGCATGTTCTTTACGGTCTTGTAAGCCTTTCTTTTCTTTTTCTTGCTTTAGTTCTTACTTGGAGGTCAAGGGGATCGGAAATTACATCCGCCCTCCCCCTTGTCCTCATATGGCGTTCTGGAGTGAATACGGAGACCCATCCACTCATATCATCCCTTACCCTCCCTTCGTATTTCATTAGGATGCTGATTTAATTATGTTGGCATTAGCTACCCATGAACCCTATTTCAAGATCCTTCGAGAGGATGTCTTTGCTGGCCAGAACGGCCCAGACAAATGCTTTGCGTGCGGCGGCACCGGCCATTTTGCCGATTCATGCCCGGGGAAGGAGGCACTTGCAGCAGCAAAGGCCGAAGATGGGGAGGATAAGCCGGATAAGGCCCAGACTCCTTACGTCTTCCTCCATGTCAATGTTCTTCGAGAGTACCTAGAGATCGAACTCCGGATTGCTGACTCGGGGTTCCCTTTTGATCTGGAACGAGCCCTGGATGATTGGGTGTTCCTGTGTTACTTTGTCGGAAATGACTTCTTGCCCCATCTCCCCTCCTTGGAGATCCGGGAGGGTGCCATCGATACTCTCGTTGATATCTGGAAACGTTCCCTCCCCCATATGGGCGGGTACGTCACCGACAGTGGGGAGGCCAATCTCACCCGTCTCCAGCTCATCTGCACCGAGCTGGGTCAGATAGAAGACAAGGTCTTTGTCGAGCGTCGAGAGAAGGAGGACCGAAGAAAGGCAGCGGCTAAACGTCGAAAGATGCAACAACGCCAGCGTCAACAGGGTCAGAGGCCCAGAGAGGGCCAGGGATCTTCCCAGCCCGCCCCTGTCAATGGGGAAATGTCCAGTTTTTTGCCTCAGGGCGTGGATATGGCCTCTTCCTCTGCCATGCAACTTTTCTCCTCCAAGGACCCTAATCCCCGGGCCCATCCTCAGCCCGCGGACAAGAAAGCCAATCAGAGTGCTGCTGCGGCCCTCAAGTCCTCCCTGAAGAAGGAAGTATCCACCACGGAGGGTTCTTCCGAGCCCACGGTGATTGGAAAGAAGCGACATCTGGAGGAGGAGACGACGACCGAGGAAGAAAAGGCACAGGGCCAGGCTAAAGTAGAGGAGAAGCCGACCAAGGTGGTTGTGGAAGGTGATGATATCCCCAAAGCTGTTCCCAAACCCAAGGAGCCTCAGGCGGATGAGGATGAGGAACCCGAGGATAATGTTCGATTATGGGAGACTGGTTTTAAAGAACGGTACTATCGGGGTAAATTTGGTGCTGAGCTTTCCGATACGGAGCTACGTCAATCTCTAGTCCGTAGCTATGTGGAGGGCCTTTGCTGGGTCCTCAAGTACTACTACCAGGGTGTTCCCTCTTGGAAGTGGTACTATCCCTACCACTATGCCCCGTTTGCCTCAGACTTTGAGGGGCTTGGCGACATGGAGTTTAAGTTTGAGTTGGGCAAGCCGTTCAAGCCCTTTGAGCAGCTTATGGGTGTCTTCCCCGCCGCATCCCGCTCTCACCTGCCCACACCCTTTCATCATCTCATGACCCAGCCCTCCTCGGAGATCCATGATTTTTACCCTGTGAACTTTGACCTTGACATGAATGGGAAGAAGTTTCTGTGGCAAGCGGTTATCCTTTTGCCTTTTATCGATGAAGACCGACTCCTCAACGCTCTGACTCCTCTCTACGATCAACTAACCCCAGAGGAGAAGGTGAGGAACTCGCATGGACAGGATGTGCTCTTTGTGGGTCAGGCCAACGCTTCTCTCTATGATACAATGTGTCGGCTGTACGGGACTGAGCAGGATGAGGTGGTGGATGAGGAAGGCCGGATAGCTCTGGACCCCAAGGTATCCCAAGGTTTGCTGGGTCTTGTGGCCAAGGAACCTTCCTTTGTGCCCGAGGCTACGTATCCCTCCCCGCTCGAGGCGTATGGTCTGGATGAGTTAAAGCACAACCAAGCCATCAATGCCTGTTACTGGAATCCTCTGATCGCTGCGGGGCAATTCCCCGCCCAGCTTCATCCCCAGGTCCAAATGCCTGCTCGGGTTCTTCAGAGCGTGGATCGGAACTTTCTTCACGAATACCGACAGTCTCAGATGCGTGGGGGCCGTGGTCGGGGTCGAGGCGGACGAGGCAGAGGCAGGGGTAGAGGTGGGATGGAGACGTATGCCCCACACCAGGAGCAGGCCATGCAGCATAATGTCTACTACAACCGGAATGGGGGTGGTCAGGAAGCCCCACCATCCCAATATGGTCAAGGCTACCCAACCCACGCCTATCCTGCTCAAGGTGGGTACCCTACCCAGGGCTACCATCCCTCTCCCCAGGCCTATGGGATGCCCGGGGGAGGGGCTCAGCAGGGCGGAGGCTGGGGTGGAGGTAACAATGGTGGATGGGGCGGTGGGGGCGGTGGATATGGGCAACCAGGGGTACCCCGCGGTGGCCCTCCTCCCTCCCGATACTCACAGTACAATGGGACCTACTCCCAAGGCCGGGGGGGGGGGGGATATGGGCAAAATCCTGGCTCTACCGGATTTGAAGGGGGCAGATACCAGGGCGGGGGAGGTAGAGGTGGTGGTGGTGGTGGCAACGGTTATCCTCAGTCCGGATACGGGAGAGGCGGACGTGGTGGCGGCGGTCGGGGAGGTCGAGGAGGGTATGGTGGATGGGGTAATGGGGGATTTTAGATATTCATCTTACTCTTCGAACTTTGTGTGGTCGGGGTCGGGCCGTAGATTGACATGCTGCGGTATACAAGCATGAATGACAATGACGACGGCGATGGTTGGTGCGTAGCCGAGAGAATGAATACACACCTTATCCCTTTTTTTATTACTTTTTTTTTAGAAATGGGTTTAAAACCGTTTTGACGGAATAGGGGCATGGAATGGGACTGTACCATGTTACCATGTTATTGTTTGTAGGACGCACATCAGACGGCTCAGACTTGCATTGTGTACATCTCTGCCCGGTCATCGTGATTGGTCGGCAGCGTTGTCCTTGAAGACCTAGCTACATCCGCTAGAATGATGAAATAAGCGGGCTGCACACATGCACACACGCATACAAATGTCCTATGCCTCAGATGATCTTTGCCTAAAAGCCTGTGCATAGACGTGCTTTGGGGATAATAGGTGGTTTCTAGCTGTAAACTCTTGTGATCCACCCATTGCAGTTTAGACAGTGTCATTTTTTGTTGTTGATGGGGTTGAGCATCCGTCAAAGTGGATGTCCTTCTTGCATGCCCAGATGCATGGTCATGGGTCGTTTTCTCCACTCCTCTCCGTTCCTTGACGCTTTGTTCATGGTCGCTCTTCATTGTGGCTTTACCTTTTTTTTTATCCTTATAATCCTCATCGTCCTCATACTGTGAGAGGATGGCCCCTCATGGTTGAAAAGAACCACTGCGGATCCGCAGTATGCCCCTGTCACACACACACACACGCCAAAGTGGCTGTCCATCAATCCATTTCACTTCGTCGCCTTGTTCAGGGCTTCATGTGGTGGCACTCCCTAAACTGCCCTTTCCTTGTACACCCCTCCCATAACTTCTCCGACTCAGCCACAATAAGGCCAAGCCCCAGCACCTCTCTGTCCCGCACTTTCATGTCCGCTCTCACACTCACGTCTCGCCTTGCCCCATCCAGCCCCTACTTTACAATCTCCTCCACCACTCCACCACTCTAGGCCCGATCCACCCCAACCCCTCCT